CACAAACCCCCCTCAAAACTTTTTTTTCTATTTTTATTTTTCTATTTTTTTGTTTTTCTACACTACCCTACACCCTACCCCTCCGCGCAATCCCCCTCAAATTTTTTTTTTTACTTTTTTTTTGTATTTTGTAATTTAATTATTTCATCCTTCTTGATTTTCTATATTTCTTGATCAACCAATTAGATGAAGAGGAGTAGGGTTGGCAAATGGGTCAGTCGGATCAGATATAGGTGGGTCAGAAACGGATAATGTAAGAACGGATAAAATATCTGATCTGAGCCATATTTAATAATTGATAAAAAACAAAGGGGTTAATTAATCATATTATCCATGGCTTCTTAAACATGAATATTTTTTGGGAGAATTCCTAGTCTCCCAAACTCGAGGAGTCCCAATTTGAGTCTTTGCAAATGTAAAAGTTAAACCCGTTCGTTATTATTTTTAAGTGGATAATATGAATCTTATACGATTCATATTTCACCCTTTTTTAAAAAGTTCATTATCTAATTAATTTTTTAGTGAATAATGATGGATAACTGTGTTTTTTAATCCATTTTGTCAACCACTATAGAGGAGCTAGAAATGGAAGTGATCATTTATGCACGTTGTTATTTTTATATGAGTAGGATAGGTTTGTACAGATTCTATGGAGGAAGCAGACCTAGAAACAGATAAAGGTACATGCCTTAGAATTGCCGTTGCATTCCCACATAAGTTAACGGGAGGTAAGACAGCCATCTTACTACTAAATCACTACCTTAATCTTCGAATTTTTTTCGATGATCTATATTACCCGAATAAAGTAGCATATCAAAATCCTAAAGAAAGGGTGGAAGGATCATCTGACCCTAGCATGATCCTCTATCGGAACAAGCTGATAGAGAAGGTTGGACTAATCGAGGGAGGAAGTAAGATTTTCAACCGAATCGGGCATCCTCCCGTATCCTTTTACATAACACTCTCAACCGTCCAAGAAGACCAGCTATCTTTCTCTTTATACGCAATATTTTGAAAGGAAAAGAAAGCAATCGATTATATGAATTCCCACTGCCAATCATCCTGTCTTATGTAGAAAAAGACTTGTATACCTTCAGCGGATACATCAAACTACCTGACATGTCTAATTCTAACCTTAACTTATTATAACTTAACCATAGTTGATTAAGAAGTACTTCGTGCACGATTCAAAGAAAGAAAGATAAACTTAAATTTTCTTTTTTTTTTCTCCGATACATATTGTATAGGTCAAAATTTGCCCTAAGAGAATTTAGCACGATGAGAAATTAAGAAAAACGATGTGACCGAGGTCAACTAGTAAACAGTGAAACTCATAGCCGGAAAGCTAACAATGGTCGAGGTCGAGCACCAAGGACAGAGTACTAACGGCTAGTTTTTATAATAAGATATCAAAGAGAATATTTCATTGAATATTCTCTGCACTTGTATTATTATAGTTGACTAGGGATATGTCTCATATAAATAGAAAAGGAGATAAGGGGATAATGCATATAATATTCATTTGGATAAGAACACCTTTTTGAGAAGAAGACTTTCTCTCTAGAAAAGATATAGATTCTATATTTTTACTAAGATTCCATCATCCATTGTCTCATACTTTTCTATCAGATCCGAGAATAGCTCCAATATCTTAAGATTTGTTTGTCATTTATCATTGTGAGAGAGAAGAATCATCCACCTCATTCAATATTGGGTGAAATATTCTTCATTTACATAAATACCATTTATTGTAATTTATTGCTTGTTGCTCCTCTATTATTGCTTAAATCTTTTGGAATATTAAATGCACACTGCTTTTAATTCTTCACAAGTATTATCCCACGTTTTCATACCAACTAATTCTAAATCTAGAGATATTATTATTAACTAGGTATAACCCTTTATTACACAAGATTTAATAGTTTAACCGAAGGTTTACACTTTCATTAAACAATTTGGCGTCGTCTGTGGGGATTCCCTAGTTAAATTTTTAGTTTTTTCTAGATCTATAACTATTACGGGTTGCTCATAAAAAACACACGGAACAAAGCTCCTTTTTCCTTGTACACACAGATCTAACATGACATGTAACAGAAAAGAAAGAATGAGGGCAGTGGCAGACCTCACCATCAATTTTTTAAACACCATAAATGAGGTTTCTAAAACAGAAGGCGAGGACATGATGCCTAATGCCTCTCCCAGGCGAGGTAGGTCGCCTCTCCATCACAACAGTATTGCAACGTCCTACGGTAAATGAGCTTCCACATCCACAACGGAAGAGACACCACCAGCAGTGAAAAATCTCCTTGAGACTTGGCTAGCTAACACGCTAACCAGCATCCTCAACAAGCCTGCCCAGGAGACAGTCCGAGAAAATGCAAGGACTTGCATTACACCGATAATGGTCGAGTAGTATGGCCCTTTCCCTCCGGTAATAGATATTACTCACACTATTAATAATGCAGGTGACAACACCCTCACAACCATTTTGAAAAATATGGAGGAAATGGAAAACGAGAACAAAGTGCTTCGGGACCAAATGAGAGAGTACCAAGAAAGAGTCGACAAAATATTGGGTGCCTAGAAACTCTTGCCAAAAAGAGGTTGTCGAACAACTATATAGTGATGAAGCCCGCCTGCATGTCATACCAAAGACCTTTAAAATGTCGTCCTATCTGAAAATATATAATGGTACGACTGATCCCGAAGATCATGTGACTCACTATGTCACCTCTGTAAAAGGCAATGACCTCGCTAAAGAACAAGTATCCTCCATCTTGTTGAAAAATGTCGGAGAGACCCTTACTGGAGGAGCATTAACTTGGTATTCACAGCTGCAGGCGAGTTCCAACGAAACATTCGAAGAGATGTCCGATAAGTTTGTAACGGCCAATGCTAGGGCCAAAAAAGCGGAGGCAAGAGTGAACGATATATTTGCCATGAAATAATTTCCCGGAGAGGGATTGAGGGACTTCCGCGCTCGATTCAACCGAGTAAGGATGGCCTTACCAAATGTATCGGAAGGAATAGCCGTAGTAGCTTTCCAAAACGGACTGAGCAGGAATGGCTCAAGGGCAACCTGAAAGTTATTAAGTCGGCTTATGAAATATCGTTTAACCACATGGGATGAAATACATAACGCCTACTGTTCCGAGGTCCATGTAGACGAGGACGACCAAAATGGGCCAACCCATCAACTGACCTCGGTACAGGCCGAGTCCAGAAAGGATCAAAGAAATGATGTCAAGAGGGACCTTGCAACTCCACGACCTAACCCAGAATGGCATTAGCTGTATATCTGAAGCGCCATCATGCACCCCTCCCGCCACTAAAAAGGCCCGCATAGACCAAGGACATGGACTCACTAGAACTAGAGAGGTATTCCCTCTTTGTTATCTGCTCACAATTTTTTTTTGTCACCCTAAAAAACAGTCTACGCATTGGAAAAGCTCGGACCAAAAATAAAGTGGCCACAGAAGATGAGGTTAGATCCAAGCACCATAAAGTCAGATGCCCTCTACGAGTTCCACCAAGAGCGAGTTCACAAAACTAAAGATTGCATCACCCTAAGGCAGGAGGTCGTAAACTTGCTTCGCCAAGGACACCTCAAAGAATTGTTGAGCGACTGGGGGAGGACAAACATTGCCCGAGGATGTGAACAACACTAGGGACCTCCGAAACCACCCTCACCGACCCGCACCATTCAAATGATCATCAGAGGCGGTGACAATGCTTCAATCAACAGAGTGAAGTTCACCACAACACACAAGCTTAAATGGGGATCACTCACGAACAGTATGACGAACTCGAAAAAAGTATCATCTTCGATAAGTCAGATACCCACAGTTTGGTTTTCCCTCATTATGACGCCCTTGTTATCACTTTACAAATATTATATATAGATGTGAGATGCATTATGGTGGATGATGGAAGAAGTGCGTGCATTATCCACCCTCGAATACTTGCACAAATGAAACTTGTGGATAAAATTGTGTCGTGTTGCATTACGCTAACAGGTTTTAACATTGCAGTTGAACAAATATCTAGGGAAATCACACTCCCCGTTCTGGCCAGCGGCGTCACTCTAGAAACCACATTCCATATCATGGACTAGGACATGGCGTACAACGCCATAATAAACCGACCCTAGATACACGCCATGAGGGCCATCCCCTCTAGTT